CACCCGTGGCGCCCAGCGCGCAGCCTGCTCCACCGCCGCCTCTCGGCCCCGCGCCGGGCAGGTAACTTCACGCGCTCATTGTCCCCCTCCCGCCCGCCGCACCCCACCCCGCCTCCGCGCCCCTAGCCAGCCGGCCGCGCTCGAGCTCTCGGTACTGGGCGCTTTACTGGAGATTCTGAGTTGCTGTGGTTTTAGTTTATTTTCTCCACCTGAAGGCCGGGACTGGGGAGGGAGACCGAGAGGAGACCGAGAGGAGACAGGGAGGGGGAGAACGCCCGGGCCAGGCGGGGTGGGGAGCCCGCGGTCCGCGCAGCTCGGGGCTCAGTGGCTGCAGCTAGGGCATGGAGGCTGGAGGAGGGCGGAGCAGAGAAGAGGAGGAAAGTGCGGCCCAGCCGAGGCAAAAGCCATCGGACCCCGGGAAGACTCGGCTGTGCCCCAGCCGCGCTCCTCAGGGGCCAGGGAGATGCACACAAAGGGGCTGGCGAGCCGGACCCCCACCGCTGCCCGCACAGCGGGGAGCGCGCGGCAGGGGGCGCTGAGGCGCAGCCGCCCCGGCCCTGCCCCGGCCCGTCCGGCCCCGCCCCGCTCCCCCTCAGCGAGTTCCCACCCGGCTCTGCCCTCCCGCCTGTGCCCGCCTTTCCCTCCTCAGCAGTCCGCTTGCTGCAGTGCCGACGTCGGGCTGTGAGAACTGCCAGTCTCCAGCCTCCGCCCCAGCCCACTGGTCCTGTTAGCCCTCCCCTCAGGAGGGTGTTGGAAGTCTGGGGTTTCCTGGAGACCCAGGAAGATCATGGGGGTTAGGGCAAAGGTAAATGGGGAGACCCTTATCAGGATCCGGATAGAGAAAGTACACTTGGGATGGTTCATTGCCCTTTGTGGGATTCCTCTATTTTTAGAGGCACCTACTAGTGCTCTTGGCAGTGAAAGGAAGATGGGGAGTCTGCCCTTCTCAATTTGTTAGTTTGGCATATGGGGTACCCACAACACTAGTGATGTTTCGTACTTTTGCTTCCTCTAATCTACAAACTTGTAACTTCATTTCGGTGGTTGGGACAGCTGGGGCGTATTTGGTCTCTGTAACAGCAGACCCCTGACTCCCCACCCTGCTTTCCAGCAAGAAATCCAACTAGGATTGGGAGATAATTGTCGTGTCAGGAGTGAGCAGACACACACACACACACACACACACACACACACACACACACACACACACAAGGGCCCGGGAAGGGACCAAGCCAAGGATTCAGGAAGTTCATTTAGGTGTTTCTGTCCCCAAGGAAGATACTGAAACTTCCCACTACTCTGTACACCCTTCTCAGGGTGATTACCAGCTGGACTGTGCCTTCCTCCCAGCTTTGTCTCTTATCTGCGGTTAAGTGTAAGCTGCAAGATTTGTAAGACAGTTTAAGTTTAACATTATAACTAGTATAAGAATTAACATTTTGGAATATTTTCTCTACCTAAAATTCATCTGGAAACCTGTTGGGTATTGCTTTGTAATCCTTACATTCTTTTTCATCTTGAGCCATTGTTTTTCTTCCACTCATCGTTTCTGTAAATAGCAAGAACTTCAGCTTTCTCCTTACCTTCATAAGAAGCCTGAGGGAGGTAGGTCTGGGAAGAAGGAGGAAAGAAAATTCCTCTACACATTCAAAAAACCCTTGGGAGCACAAAACAAAACTAATGAGTAGAAAATGTGATCTTGCTCCTCATCAGTGCTTTATAATAAAATGTGTGTGAAATTTTGTGATTTGTAACATCAGCTTTCATAATTCAACTGTAGATACTAAAATGTGTTATGTGTATTTCTAAATTCAGTGTCAGTAATAAAACCTTTTAGTTGTAAAGAATATGTATGCTATGCTTAAATTCCTATCTTCTGTCCAACAGTCATTCCTAATATGTTACATAGTTCAAAACTTGATTTTTAAAACCTTTCTTAGGACCCATAATTGATTTCTGCTAGACAACCCTGTGAATATGAGCAGATGAAATAAAATGTTTCAGGACTGGAACAATAATGCTGTAAACTTCTTGGCATCTGGGAGATAATGATATCTACCCCGTGACACTATGTCCCTAAGACCTTCATCCCTCCTGATAGAAAACTCAAATGCATGAGGCCTCTGTATCTCTCTGCTTCCTAATCTAAGGCCTGGTTTCTATAATGTGGAGTCCACATAGTGTGTTAGTGTTTCTCATGGTGAGGATATGACCTGTTGGAGGAAAAAAAGTTGCTCTTACCTCTAATCGCGTAAGCAGTATAAGTAGATCAAAGAGATCATCTCAGTCTATCTCACTAACATACTGTTTTCATAGTGCTCCACCCAGTGCCTATCATACAGAGCTATACCACTGAGTAAATCTGAATTTAAAAAATAAAGAGGTATTCTATTACTTTTCAATGTGCAGGACATTCGACTCCACAACATGTTTACTAATTTAGTTGTTCATTCCTTATATTTATTCAAAGAAAATACAGAACTGTGAAAAATACAAACCAAAACAAAAAATTACTATTGTGATATACTGTGCATAAATTTGAAATTTAAAAACAAATTCCTTGAAATAGTTCTTGCTCTACATGAGTTTATAGCTATGCTGTCATTTGGGGTTGGTCCTGCCTAGGGGACATTGAAAATCTCCCCAGCCAGATACCCTTATTTTCTTTGCCATTTTATTTATTTATTTGTTTGCTTATGTATTTTGTGTTTTAGGGAAGGGTCTACAGGATGTTCAGGGTCTCACTGCATAGACCCGACTTGTAGTGAGTGATCTACCTGTTTAAAACCCCTCAAAAGCTGGGATTTCAGGCATGTGTCACCATGCCCAGTCTCATTGCCATCTCAGCGCACCTGGGGGATGGGGCTGGCAGGCCCAGGGATTGAACCCTTGGCCCCTGCGCCTGCCTGCAGGCACTTTAATCTGCTGAGCTATTTGGTTAGCCCTTTCCCTGGTCTATTTATTTATTTATTTATTTATTTATTTATTTATTTATTTATTTAGTGGAACCAGGGATTGAACTCAAGCCCTTGCACTTGCAAGGGAAATGATTATTCCACTGAGCCATCTTTCTCCCTTGCCATTTTAGAGATGGAGTTTAACAGTTTACCTGGGCTTTCAGAACAAGCATGCATAAATTGTTTTATACATCCAGTTTATGATTTATTCATCTGAACCAGAAAGTTTATATATTATAATTATCAAACAATGTTTATTGAAAAATACCTCCTTATTAATATTGATGTAATAATAACACTACTTATAATATTCAAGTTGCCTACCATGTCTTAGGCTTGGTGCTAATATCTGATCTAATTTACATTTAATTTCATTATCTCCTACAACTTTATAAATAGTGTTAGAGAGCCTAACCAATAATTACAATGCACACTCAACCTTTGATTTCTTGCTTCAGCACCACCTATGTTCATTTTAATTATAGTTTCATAAATTGTTGTTTTCAAATTTGCAATTGTTTTCAATGATTGCATTTCACGTTTACTGATTCTTTATATTATATAAGTAAGGCTGCAATCTTGTAGCATCATCTGTAAGTTTCATGTACAGAATATGTTACTTTGAGGAAAATATTCACTAGACCACTAATTCTATCTGTGATTTATGAGAATTCTGTAAAAGTCACTCAACAGAAAATGGTACTTCCCACCAGGTACTTTGTGTTACAGTTGGGAGTTGGTTTCTCTTCAAGGGTAGAAGTCCACTGTAGATTAACTTTCAGAATGAAACATCATATATACATGGAGGGACCATTTTTGGAATACCAAATATTAAAACTAAAATCAGTACTATATTGAAATACCAAATTAAGATTCATTCTTATGATGGCTTCTTCTGACTTAAGCTAGTATTTCAGTGCTAGCTAACTTCACAAGTTCCTGTTAGAAGACAGCCTCATTCTTTTTTTTTCCTAACACCTCTTAAAAATAATTTTATTGAGAAACAAATAGCAATGAGACAGTTTCAAAACCGATTACTAGCACAGTTTCAATAATTAATACATTGCATATTGTTGTCTTAATAGTTATTCATTGTACAAGATGCAAACATGACATCCTGTCCATGGACACTATGAAAACAAATCTCTCTATTCATTGAAATAAGATAATGCAGCTGTATATCTATCCTAACTATTTTGAATATATAGATAGAAAATATTCGTTCATTTGTATCCCACTTTTTTGTTTAGTTTTGTCAGAGAAGGGTATTCCATTGTCATGTAAATATTGTAGGTGCGTGAATTTGGAAAAATTTTCTAATATAGTCAAGTAGCCCATAATAGTAGTGGGTTTTCAGTAAGACTGGTAATGTCAGAAGTTGTTGACTTGAACCTTTTACAGCTCAGCATATTAATATGGCTTTACTTTTTACACTTCTTTGTAATACTTTTCTGCTGGATGATTAAGACCAAGATAAAGCAAGACCTATAAAACAAGAAATGTAACTTTAAGGTTACATATGGTCAGTCAAATCCCCTCAGGATTTAGCCTGAAACCCTGTATTGCAATTTGTAGATCTTTTGTCACTGTCAGCCATGTGGATGAATCATGGCTATTGCTTGAGCAATTTGCTCTCTGTAAAAGCCTGAGAGAATGTTTTCTCTCCATGTGACTCTCCTTAGGCACACTTTACATCATCGATCACTTTCCTCTGTGGTCCCATAATCTCCTTTATCAGAAAATTTGAGACACAACTGAGTTACATGATGTTATAGTACAGGTTCTTCTATGT